AGCCAAAATTGCACTGCACCCAATCTTCGGAGACATAAAGGATAGCACATCTGCTAAAGCAACTCCACCCAAGCAAAACAATAGCAAGGAGCCAAATAAAAGCATAATTAGGAAGTCATTCACTACAAGTGCTAGACAGTTGGACAAACAGGAGGCAAACACAAAGCCAAAGGAAAACACAAATTCAGAAAAGAGTGCAACAAAGATGTGTCTCTTCTGTGACGGTGAACACAACTTGGACATTTGCTATAAGCTTAAAGGCAAGCCGCACAATGAAAAGATCGACTTCCTGAAGAGAAAAGGATGTTGTTTTGGCTGCTTAAAACAAGGCCACATGAGTAAAGCCTGCAAGGCAAAGGTCAGCTGTCAGGTGTGTTCGCTAATACATCCAACATTGCTGCACATTAAGAAAAAAGACACCGTTGCTGAAACAGAAAATGAGACACACAGCTGTGAAACGCAAACTATCCTCAGTGCCTTCATTGCTGCAGAGTCCGAGGGTGGTGAGCCGACTGGGGCCGGAGAAGACGACTGTACGCTGGCGATCGTTCCTGTTCAGGTTAAAGCCAAGAGTAGAAACAAGGTGGTACAGACATACGCCTTCTTGGACCCAGGAAGCTCAGCCACATTCTGCACCGAAGCATTGATGAAGGAGTTGAAGCTCACTGGAAGAAAGACAGACATACTGCTGAGAACCATGAACGAAGAGAAACCTGTTCGTACGTATGTAGTGTCAGACTTGGAAGTTAGCAGCTTGTCTGGTGAGGAGTTCATTAATCTTCCAGACGTCTTTTCACAGAAGTCCATACCCGTGGGAAAGGAAAACATACCTAAACAAAAGGATCTAGAAAGGTGGACGTACCTTAAAGAAATACATTTGCCTCATATCGAAGCAGACATTGGATTGCTCATAGGAGCAAATGTGCCCAAAGCTATGGAGCCGTGGGAGCTGGTGAGCAGTGTTGGTAATGGGCCATATGCAGTGCGAACCAAGCTAGGCTGGACTGTGAATGGACCTTTGAGGGAAACAAACAGCCACGAAGACAAAGGAGAGCCAAAAAGGAAAATTGCAAACCGCATATCAGTCAGCAGTTTGGAGAACCTGTGGTTACAACAGTTCAAAGTGGATTTTCCGGAAAGTGGAAAACATGAAGAAGTGGAGATGTCCAGAGAAGACCACCAGTTCATGGATATGGTCACAGAATCTGCTGCACTGATTGATGGTCACTACTCCTTATGTCTACCCCTCAAGAACAGATCGGTTCATTTGCCAAACAATCGACCAATTGCTGAACAGCGAGCACAAAATCTAAAGCGAAAGTTTCTCAGGAACGAGAACTACAGACAGGAGTACACAGACTTTATGGAAGACCTGCTAAAGAAGGGCTACGCGGTGCAACTATCAGAAGAGGAACAGATGCACAAAGAAGGGAAGGTATGGTATATACCACACCATGCTGTGTACCATCCTGTAAAACAGAAGCTAAGGGTTGTGTTTGATTGTGCTGCGTCCTATCAAGGCACATCCCTGAATTACCAACTCCTTCAGGGTCCAGACTTGACCAGTAGTCTGATTGGTGTTGTGATACGATTCAGACAAGAGCCTGTCGCGATCATGGCCGACGTGGAAGCAATGTTCCACCAAGTTAAGGTGTCTGAGAAAGACTCTGATCTGCTCAGGTTCCTCTGGTGGGAAGGCGGTGACTGCAACCAGGCGCTGACGGAGCACAAGATGACCGTGCACATATTTGGGGCCACGTCCTCTCCGAGTTGCGCCAGCTTCGCTTTGAGGAGGTGTGCTGAAGATCAGAGTGGGCAGTTCAGACCTGAAGTGGTTCAGACCGTCCTACAGAACTTTTATGTAGACGACTGCCTCAAGTCTGTCGCTACAGAAGAGGTAGCTGTTTCAATGTGTCAAGACCTCATGAAGATCTGTGCCAAAGGAGGCTTTCGTCTCACCAAATGGGTGAGCAACCGACGGAAGGTGCTCGACTCCATTCCCAAGTCTGAATTGGCAACAGAAATGAAAACTTTGGATCTGGATCATGACGAACTACCTCTGGAAAGGGCTCTTGGCGTCAACTGGTGTGTTGAGTCAGACACATTCAAATTCAAGATCAACATAAAAGATCGCCCATTCACCAGGAGAGGACTTCTCTCAGTCATTGGTTCAGTCTACGATCCATTAGGCATTTTGTCACCCATAGTCTTGCCAGCCAAAGCTATCCTGCAAGAACTATGCAGATTGAAGATTGGATGGGACGAAGACTTACCAGAGAATGTGAAGAAGCAGTGGACTGACTGGCTAGCTAGTCTTACTGCCTTGGAGCACTTCTCAGTGGACAGATGTCTCAAGCCTGAAGAATTTGGAAGTTGCATATTTGCACAACTACATCACTTCGCGGACGCGAGTGAGGATGCGTATGGGTCAGTCAGTTACCTTCTCCTGCGCAACGCTGAAAACCAGACACACTGCACATTCATGATGGGCAAATCCAGAGTAGCGCCTCTCAGGCCTCCTACCATTCCCCGGATGGAGTTGATAGCAGCTACGGTGGCTATTAAGATGGATGGTGTCCTGAGAAGAGAGCTACAACTGGAACTTGCAGAGTCTATTTTTTGGACTGACAGCACGGTGGTACTCAGGTATCTACAGAATGAGACCACACGTTTCCGCACATTTGTGGCAAACAGAGTTTCCACTATCTTGAAGAACTCTGATGTGGAGCAGTGGAGACATGTCAGCACCGACGTGAATCCAGCCGACTGTGCCTCTAGAGGGCAAAGAGTGGATCAATTCCTGAAGAACACCACATGGGTGTCTGGACCTGAGTTCCTTCACGGTCCTGAAGAGAGTTGGCCCAACACTCCATTGAGCCACACACAACTCACGTCAGACGACCCAGAGATCAAAAAGGTCACAGTGAATCGAGTGGAAGTGGAAGAGAATGTCACTCCATTCAAAAGACTAATCAACCACTTTTCATCCTGGATCAAATTGAAAGGAACAATCGCGTGGTTCCTGAAGTTGAAGGCCATATTGCGAAGCCTCTGTCAAAAACGCAAAGAGCTGTGTGCAGCCGACATCGGGAAAGGTGCAGTTCATAGTGAACAGCTGATCCAAACCCAGATTGACAGCTTCAAGGCGAGCATTGGACCTACTAAACTTTCAGTAGAAGACCTGGAGCAAGCAGAACTTGACATAATCAAATTCTGTCAGAAAGAGAAGTACTCTGAGGAGATTGCGGCTTTGCACAAAGGACAGAGTGTGAAGCGCAGTAGTCACTTGTATAAGCTAAACCCAGTGCTTCAAGATGACCTGTTGCGAGTTGGTGGAAGACTGAGTCGGGCAGCTATGCCAGAAAGTCGCAAGCAGCCAATCATTCTGTCCAGAGATTTTCACATAACGGACTTAATCCTCCAACAGATTCACTTAAAGACAGGGCATGGTGGACGCAATCATATGCTCTCTGAGCTGCGCCAAAGATTTTGGACTCCAAGCGCCAACATGGCCATTAGGAAAGTGATTGGGAAGTGCGTGACGTGTCGCCGCTTGCATGGGAAAGTTGGAACCCAACTTATGGCTGATCTTCCACAAGATCGAGTAATACCAGATGACCCGCCTTTCACTCGAGTTGGCGTGGATTATTTCGGACCACTGGAGGTCAAGCGTGGAAGAACCATTTTGAAGAAGTACGGAGTCATATTCACTTGTTTTGCCATTCGCGCAGTGCACATTGAGGTGGCCTCGTCATTGGACACTGATTCGTGCATTAACGCGATTCGCCGCTTCATATCACGCAGAGGACAAGTGAAAGAGATTCGCTCGGATAATGGGACAAATTTCGTTGCCGCCAATCGCGAGCTGAAGGATGCCATTGCTGATTGGAACTCATCACCGTTTCAGCATCTGTTCCACCAGCATGGGATCAAGTGGACGTTTAACCCTCCCACCGCATCGCATCACGGTGGAGCATGGGAGAGATTGATACGATCAGTCCGAAAGGTGCTGAATTCAACTGTGAGAGAGCAGATCCTTGATGAGGAAAGCCTTCATACGGTCCTGTGCGAGGCAGAGTCGATCATCAACAGCCGTCCGATCACTAGAGCGTCCAACGATCTAAATGATTTAGAGGCTCTGACGCCTAATCATTTACTGTTGCTCAAGACGAAACCCTCATTGCCTCCAGGATTGTTTGACCAGGACGACCTCTACTCAAGACGCAGGTGGAAACAGGTACAGTACCTGTCCAACTTATTCTGGAAGAGATGGATTAAGGAGTACCTGCCTCAATTACAAGAGCGACAACGCTGGGCCACCGCATCCAGGAACTTTGCTGTAGGAGACATCGTTCTTCTTGTGGATGACTGTGCGCCGAGAAACTCTTGGATTATGGGCAAGATCATCGAAGCAGTTCCAGACAAGAATGGTCTGGTCCGCAGAGTCAAGATAAAGACAAAGACTAATGTTTTGGACAGACCCATTACGAAGATCTGTCTGCTTGTGGAGTCTGACCGGGCTAGTGGTAAAGACTAAGCCCCATCGATGAGCTATGTGCTAGCAACCTCTGGCTCTACTCTCTCTCTTTATTTCTCTACCTATTTTCTATCTGTCTTTCTTTCTTCATTGCAGATGGAGCGATGATGGACTTTATACCTTTGAGGTTTAGATGAAGGACAATGGACATTTTAGTGTACTTAATTCATTGCATGCTGGTTATGAAAAAGTAATTTGATTTGAGATATGATTCATATTTTATTCCATAAGAAGAAGTTTGGTAATTGTTCTTTGTTACTTTGTTATTAGAACAATTAGGGGCCGGTAATGTAGGCGCCATATGCCCATTTATGTACATTTATGTATATTTATGTG